CATCCTTTCCCTTCCTTTTCGTCTCATTTACACATAACACATCTATTCCTCTATCATTCATCATATCGCATACTTCATCCATTTTATCATTCATTGCCCCACATACATTCAACGTAGCCAGACGGACCTCTGCAATCCACTTTTCGCCTCTCCGGGAGACAGAACGTGACGGGTGGCGAACCTCGTCGCCGGTTTTCCTCCCGGAGATTCTTCGCACCCCTGCCCCATTAAAGGGGCGCCGGGAACTCGGGGCCATTTCTATTATATTGTTCCTCATGGTGCGGATAAAGGGTGGTATATTTTACGCCTCTACCAGGGCGTGGAGCCGAGTCTGTGCTATCGGCTTGTCGCTCATTTAGCACCACCCGGGGGACACGTGTAGGGTGGGCCTAGGAATAGGTGGTCAGAGCCTACGGACGCGAGCGACTTATCCCCCTAAAAGGTCAGAATATCTGGATTATATGTCTTTTTACCAAAATTAAGATAAAAAATGTATGGATCTGTATTTTTCCACGCAGGACCGGGAAGAGAGTGATAAAAAACATAAAATTCACCAGCTGATTTTCTTCAAACGTTTTGGTGCATTGCAATTCACAGACTAGGCGATAACCTCACAGACGATATTAAGTAATCCGTTGATGCTCTGTCTACCCCGCAAGGGTTACAGGCGTGATTATAAGTATGGATCAGAAATACTATCACCACCTGTCACGCTTTCACCCTTAACTATTACTTAACTGTGGTAGAAACAGTTCTTAGTAAGCCTTATTAATAAGCCTTAGTAATATTTATTTAACGGAAATGAATACAGTTCTTATATGTGGTTATGAATGAATCGGTATTACAATAAGAAAAATTGTGCAAAATTATAAGAAAAATATTTTTTGAGAGTTCTTATTAACTAACGTATACATAGTTTAAATTGATTCCGCTAGATGTCGTTACTAGGTTTTTAAAACGCGGTAACGAAATGTTTCCTGACATGTACTTAACTCCCGCCATTGAGCCGAACGTCAACTTATAGTGCATACCTATACGCTTAAATTGTTTCTATTTCGTAGCTTATTCGACTACCTGCTTTCGATTTCGGTTGTTTGTTATTTGCTTTGTGATTTGGTTAAGGTTGAATGGATTTATATTGGCTTTCATTTTCGGATTTGTGTATTTTCTTGGATCGGTTTTGTTAATTTGGTTGGTATTCCTTTATACATATTTAGACTCTGGCTTTGATTTTGGATTTTGTTTATTTAGAATCGTGAATTGGTTTCGTTGTTTTAAGTTGTTAAACAATATTTCAAAGGAATATTAATAGTATAGATAGTGTATACGGTACCTATACACTTACTTCTTTTTTCGTTGGTTATATTTATATTGACTACTGCTTTCGATTTCGGTTTTCTGCGATTTGTTTTGTGATTTGGTTTAAGTTGATTCGATTTTTTTTTGGCTATAGTTTTCGGATTCGTGTTGTGTATTGAATTGGTTTAAAAGGAATATTTAAAAATATTTAAAAGGAATATTTATTCCTTTTAGATATTTTGGATTTGCTTTTTAAAAAAAATATTTAAAAGGAAATTTAATTCCTTTTAGGTGTTTTACCGTTTTTTTTAAAAATAGGTTATTTGTTACTTCATAATGCCTCGCACACGTAAGTCCAGCCTTTCAAAAGTATCTTCTCAAAGACAAGCGAAAAGATTAGATCGATCGCTAGAATCTTTAGAAGATGCTGAACTGAGAAGGCAAGAACAAGCAGAGCGTCAGGCTGCTTTTAGAGCATCTGTGACACCTCAACGTCAGCAAAGGCGTCTTGAACAGACAGAGCGTCAAACTACTTTAAGAGCTTCTGAAACACCTTCTCAAAGTCAGCGAAGGCGTCTTGAGCAGGCAGAGCGTCAAGCTACTGAAACACCTGTTCAGAGTCAGCAAAGGAGTCTTGAACAGGCAGAGCGTCAAGCTACTTTAAGAGCTACTGAAACACCTGATCAAAGTCAGCAAAGGCGTCTTGAAAGGCAGACCGTCAATCTACTTTAAGAGCTACTGAAACACCTGCTCAAAGTCAGCAAAGGCTATTGAAACAAGCGGAACGTCAGGCCGCCTTAAGAGCCGCGGAAAAACCTGATGAAACTCAACACAGACTCATTGAGAAAGCTGAACGTCAATCTACTATAAGGGCATCTGAAACACCAGAACAGACACAGGCACGAAGAGATGCAAATGCACAGCTCCAAGCTGAAGGTCGTCAAAATTTTCAAAGAAACAATTGGTCGGTTTTTAATGACGCAGCATTCAATTATGATCCGTTGATTGATTATAAAAATCACAGGTTAGTTGTTATCGGACTGATGTACAAGGCGTGTCGATTTTGCAGCGCTTTAAAATGGAAAGATGAGACCGTAGGCATGTGCTGTTCCAATGGCAAAGTGTCTCTTCCGTTACTTGGGGAACCAGAAGAACCTTTGAAAATTCTCTTTTTATATGATTATAATGAGTCACGGCGCTTTTTAAACAGGATCCGGAAATATAACTCATGCTTTCAAATGACGTCCTTCGGAGTTGACAGGGAAATAATAATGCCGGGATTTTCGCCTACATTTACGGTGCAAGGGCAAATTTATCATAGAACAGGTTCACTTTTTCCAGCTGAAAACGAACAGCATAAATTTTTACAAGTATATTTTATGGGTGACGAAGAAGTTGAGGTAGACCGTCGCTGCCAATTTATCCAGGGAGTTGAGAGAGACACAGTGTTGAAAATTCAAAGATTCTTGCATGAACGTAACATTTTAGTCAAAACGGAAGACCTGATCTTTTTGTTACTTTTAATTGCAATCCCACATGGAAAGAAATAGCCGAGGAGCTAATGCCGGGCCAAAAAAGTACTGACAGACACGATTTAGTTGCTAGAGTATTTAGATTAAAAGTACAAAAACTAATGTATGTAATTAACAAAGGGAAAATTTTCGGAGAGGTGCAGTACTTCATGTATTCAATTGAATGGCAAAAAAAGAGGATTACCGCATGCCCACATTCTAATATGGCTTAAAGAGAATAAGCGCCGAGATTCCGGATCCTGAGCAAGATAAACAATTGTATGATACCATCGTCCGAAATATGATTCACGGTCTATGTGGAGCACGAAATTCAATATCGCCATATATGAAAGAAGGAAAATGTACAAAGAAATTCCCTAAACAGCTATTAAAAGAAAAGTGCACAATGACAATGGCTACCCTTTATACAGACGCAGAGCTCCCGAAGATAGTGGCAGGAAAGATACAATCAAATCTCGCTCTGGAGCGTTCGAAACCTTAGATAACAACCGGATTGTCCCGTTTTCACCCATTGTATGTAAAATGTTTAATGCCCACATTAATGTAGAAGCATGTAGCTCTGTCCGTGCAATCAAGTATATCTGTAAGTACATAAATAAAGGAAGCGACCAAGCAATATTTAATCTCAGGAGTGAAGGTGAGGCAAATCCCATTAATGAAGTACAGACCTTTCAAGCAGGGCGTTATGTCAGCAGTAACGAGGCAGCGTGGCGTCTCCTTGGCTTCCCTTTACACGAAAGGCACCCAACAGTTACTCACCTTGCTGTGCACTTAGAAAATGGAGAGCGTGTATATTTCACCGAAAGAAATTTCCAAGAAAGAATTGCATCACCGCCAAAAACTACACTAACAGCCTTCTTTCAACTTTGTCAAACTGAACTTTGCAAAAACGTTGTTATATTCTGAAGTCCCCCGCTATTATACTTGGAACACATCTAGGAAGGAGTGGAAACGCTGTATTCAAGGCGGGCCTGTTGCAAATTGGCCCGGTGTAAAGTCATTAGATGCCCTTGGTCGTGTGTATACCGTCCATGTAACAAATTTTGAATGTTTCTGTTTACGATTGCTGCTCCACTATGTTCGGGGTCCTACAGGATATAAAGACCTTAAAACTGCCAACGGTCAGGAATGCGCAACTTATAGAGAAGCATGTGAAGCTCTGCATATTTTAGAAAAAGATAATCACTGGGATGAAACCATGGAGGAAGCTGTGCAGTGCCAGTCACCAGCCAAAATTAGGGATCTTTATGCAACTCCCATATCATCTTGCAGGCTATCTAATGCACATGAATTGTGGGACAAATATAAGGAGTACATGGCGGAAGATATTTTGCGAAGGTTACAGCAGACACACGTGAACATGACATACAATGAACACATTTATAATGAAGCACTTGGAAAAATTGAAGATAAAGTAATGGCAATGGTAGGCAAAAAATTAAGGGACTTTGGAATGATAAGCCCTCAGCGAACAACCGAAAATGAACTAAGTGATGAAATTATACGTGAAAAAAACTACGATAAACCAGTTGTACCCCGCTTGCTTCCCGAACAAAAACGAGTTTTTGACAAAGTATTAGGACAAAATGAATCTGGAAATGGTGCACTTTTCTTTTTAAATGCCCCTGGAGGAACTGGAAAGGCATTTTTGTTAAATTTATTATTAGCGCAAGTACGAAAAGAGTTTCAGTTCGCGGTCAGTCGCCGCGCAAAGTGGACACGTTCACTGCAGTTAACGCGTAATGCTTTATTATCAACTAGTGCGTTACGTTCAAAATTGTGTTCCTAAAAATAGATCTTCAATATTGCTTATCTAAATAACCATGCAGTGTGCAATTTGCCAAGAAACTTTTAATGATTGTGTATCATGCTATGGTTGTAAAAACCATCTCTGCTACGGCTGCGCTGGCCTGGAAGAAAAAAGCTATCGTAGATTCAATCAAGACAAAAAATCAGCATGGAGGTGTGCTCATTGCAAGAATACAAAAAATGAACCATCGATCAACGAAGTCATATTGAAAGAGATCCGCGACATTAAAAGTAGGGTTAACTCTATACCGGAATTGTTGGAAGATGTCAAGACCATCAAGTGCGAACTGGAGGAGCTAAAAGACGCTTGTAATGAAAACAACAAGCGATTGGATGAGTTTGACGCCAGAATTTGCCACAATGGAGGAAAACGTTTCAGAGATCAATCATATCAAGGACAAGCTTACCATAACATGCGTTGATTTTGATCGCATCCACTATGAAATCTTACTTAAGGAGCAGTGGTCTCGGCTGAACAATATCGAGATCAAGGGTGTGCCTATTAAAACCGGTGAGAACCTATTTCAGACTCATGAAGCTCTCTGCAAAGCCATCGGTTTCGACGTCCCCAAATTCCAAATAGATTATATCGCCCGAGTTCCCTCGCATAACTTGAAAGGTAAATTGATAATTGTTCGATATATAAATCGATACACAAAAGAAGATTTCATTGCAACCGCTCGCGCTAAGAAGGAATTATATGCTAAGGACATAGGATTCGCAGGAAGCAAGAACCGCATCTTTGTAAATGACCACCTAACACCACACTTTAAATCATTGCTGACAAAGGTGAAGGCCCTCGCTAAGGTGAAAAACTACAGCTATGTGTGGGTGAAGTTCGGCAAAATTCATGTGCGCAAAAACGATACCAGTCATACTTTTATTGTACAAAAAGAAAGTGATTTAAACAAAATTGCCTAATCAACTTTAAGTCCTTATTTTTATTTAACTTAATTCTATTAGCATTACTAACTATTGTATTTTGCTATGACATAAATTTACCTACGCGCCTTCCCTATTGTGCTATGTTTGCTCGGACTCGCACTTGCCAAACCGGTTATTTTTGCCGCTTATCATCGATCCCGTCGACCGCTTATTGTTTACTTCATACCTGCATATTTATTTGTTCTATTTTTTACTTGCTCGCACTATCTCGCTTATTAAACATTGCTTAATCATTTATATATCCTTTTTACGTATACTTATTTTCAACTCCGTGCCTATAAATTTTCCATGCCTCTGCCATAACTTTGTGCTTTATATTAAGACTCATTCTTTACTTAAAAATGGATAACGTAACTAAAAATAGCCTAAGCATTTATTATCAAAATGTCCGCAGGCTTCGTTCGAAAACAACGGTATTTTTCCGTAATTTATGCATGAGCACTTACGACATTATAATCCTCACGGAAACGTGGCTACTTGATGGAATTTTCGACTCAGAACTATTTGATGATAGATATATTGTATGGAAGCGTGATCGCGATTATAGCTTAACCCATCAAACACGAGGAGGCGGTGTATTAATAGCTATACATAAATGGCTCGCCTGCACAATACAACCAACATATTTTTCTACCGCTGAAGACTTGTGGGTGACGATATCATTACACAATAATAAAACGAATCATCATCATCATCATCATCATTACAGCCCTTCACAAGTCCACTGCTGAACATAGGCCTCCCCCAAGTAATGCCACAAAGCACGGTCCTGAGCCACCTGCATCCATCGACTTCCTGCATATCTTACCAGGTCGTCACTCCATCTAGTGGGGGTTGCCCTACACTACGCCTACCGGTACGATGCTGCCACTCGAGAACCTTTCTTCCCCATCGGTTGTCGGTTCTTCGAGCTATATGGCCGGCCCATTGCCACTTCAGCTTACTAATCCGTTGGGCTATGTCGGTCACTCTGGTTCTACTGCGGATATCCTCATTTCTGAGTCTATCACGCAGAGAAACTCCGAGCATAGCCCTCTCCATAGCTCGCTGAGCGACCTTGAGCGTCCTCATACGGCCAGCAGTGAAGGACCACGTCTCTGATCCGTAAGTCATCACTGGCAACACGCACTGGTTGTACACTTTAGTTTCAGAGATTGAGGTATACCTGACGAGAAGATGTGTCGTAATTTCCCGAACGCTGCCCAGCCGAGTTGAATCCGTCGATTGACCTCTCGGTCGAAGTTGGACTTACCTAGTCGGACTATTTGTCCCAGGTAAACGTACTCGTCAACAACTACGAGCATAGTGCTCCCCACAACTACCGGCATAGGTGTGACATGGACATTGAACATAATCTTTGTTTTGTCCATGTCCATCTTAAGACCTATCCGTTGGGAGACACCATTGAGGTCATTGAGCATAGTGCTAAGGTCCTCCAGCGATTCTGCCATAAGGACTATATCGTCGGCAAATCGAAGGGGAGTGATGTACTCGCCATTGATGTTAATACCGTATCCTTTCCAGTCCAGTAGCTTGAAAACGTCTTCCAAAGCAGCGGTGAAGAGTTTCGGGGATATAACGTCACCCTGTCTTACACCTCTCTGCAGTTGGATAGGTTTCGAGCTCTGGTTCTGTACTCGGATAGCCATCGTAGCCCTACTGTACAAACACTTCAGCACTTCGATATACCGACAGTCAACTTGGCACCGCTGAAGGGACTGCAGCACCGCCCAAATTTCGACGGAATCAAAGGCTTTCTCATAGTCCACATACGCCAGGCAAAGTGGCAAATTGTACTCTTCAGTCTTCTGTACAATCTGCCGCAGGGTATGTATGTGGTCTATGGTACTGAAGCCTTTTCGGAAACCGGCTTGTTCGGGAGGCTGGAAGTCGTCGAGTCTGTTAATTAATAAAACGAATACCAAAACAAATTTGCATATATGTGTGCTATACCTATGTAGTCAAAACACTGGTAATAGTTTCTCTGTGCAACTAAAAAATTTTTTAACCAACTTAGAACGATTTATGTCAACATATTCTGATGATAGGTTTTTAGTGGCAGGCGACTTCAACTTAAGTGCTATATCATGGCATCCCAATGGTGATCATTTTGTACCAATGGGAAATAAAACATTTGACGAAAATTTACTAGTTGACGAACTAAATCTTTTGGGTCTAAATCAATATAACGGCGTTGTGAACGCACATGGTAAAATTTTAGACTTAGTCCTGTCAAACTTTACTCAGGTAGTCACCAATTGTTGTGACCCTCTTGTTCCCATTGATCTACACCACGGGGCACTCCTAATTGAATCTCATCTTCTTGATTTCATACCACTAAGGCCAGCCCCTCGCGATAGGTTTCTGTACAACAAAGGCGACTATATATCAATCAATACCGAGCTGCTCAAAATCGATTGGGCTAGCGAATTTCATTCAAGAACGCTAGATGAATGCGTAGATTATTTCTACTCAACCTTCCATATTTTGAGAGATAAATTTATTCCATCCAAAACTATTGTTAAACATCAATACCCACCTTGGTACTCTCTAGCGTTAATTAAGGTGATCAAGGAACAATATAAATATCATAAAAAAATTTAAATTTACAATAATCGCAGTGATTATGAGTCTATGAAATTACTTCGAGTTAGGGCAAAAGCCTTAGAGAGTAAATGTTACACTGACTACCTAACATCTGTTGAAAACTCTATTACTAAAAACCCTAAAAACTTCTGGAGTTTTACAAAATCGCGCTCGAATTCAAACGTTATGCCTAGTACTCTTTTTTATAACCATAAAGTAGTCAAAACTGGCAACAGTATTTGCGAAGCGTTCTCAGAATACTTTAGTTCTAACTTCTTGGATGATACTAGTACACAGCCTACCTCTGATCCTGCCCATATTGACTATCCACCTTCTATTGCGGATATCTCCAAAATCTACGTCAGTGAACAAACCGTCCTCAATCTTTTGCTCAAACTTGACCAATGTAAATCTGCTGGTCCAGATCACCTGCCGGCCTTATTTTTAATAAATTGTGCAGGGTCACTGGTAACGCCTGTAACTCTCCTATTTAATAAGTCTCTAGCAGAATGTACTGTTCCTGCTATCTGGAAATCGGCCTTCATCACTCCAATACACAAAAAGGGCTCTAGAGATCAGGGTAATAACTACAGGCCTATTTCCAAGTTATGCATACTAAGTAAAGTCCTCGAAAAAATAGTGCACTCTCAATTACATTTAGCTATTAGACAATCACTTCACGACTTTCAGCATGGTTTCCTCCCCGGTAGATCTACTGTAACAAACCTTGCTCTACTCAATGACTTTCTTACAGATTCCATGGATAAAGGCCATCAAATTGATGTCATCTATACTGATTACAGTAAGGCTTTCGACCGGATTAACCATAGTCGCCTCCTATACAAGCTTAACTGTGTTGGCATAAGCGAAGATTTACTTCGCTGGTTTTCCTCGTATATAGAGAACAGAACACAAGCTGTAGTGGTAAATAATTACATTTCTAGCTGGGTTAAGATCCCTAGTGGTGTTCCCCAGGGCTCGCTACTGGCACCTTTACTCTTTGCTATTTTTGTCAATGATATCAACGACTGTCTGTGTAACTCTCGTCTATTATGTTTCGCAGATGACATGAAAATCTTTTCAAATATTTCTTCATTAAAAGACGCAGAAGCATTACAAAATGACTTGAGAAACTTACTTGATTATTGTACCTATAATCATATCGATCTCAATCCTACAAAATGCTCAGTTGTTACATTTAGCCGTAAACCCAATAAATTGCTGTACGATTACCAGATTCGAGGCCAATCGTTGTCCAGAGATTGCTCCGTACGCGACTTGGGAGTTATACACGACTCGAAACTTCTGTTCGATAAACATATCGAAAATATCATTGGCCGGTCTGCCAGAGCCTTAGGGTTTGTGATGCGCTGCTCTAAAAACTTTAAACAAATTAAAACATTGAAAATTTTGTATTGTTGTTACGTAAGAAGTATTTTGGAATATGCATCACAGATATGGAACCCTCAATATAAAACCTATATATCTCGAATTGAACGTATCCAGATGAAATTCATTAAACACCTTTGCTACCGAGTAAATGACCACTACAACTCTAACTTCTACCATGATAAGTGTAGAAAGTTCCACCTCTTACCACTTGAAATGCGAAGGCAAATAGCAGATATTACCTTTCTACTTAAGATAGCTTCAAGCGAGATCGAATGTCCAGATCTACTTGAGAAGTTAAATATCAAAATTCCAAAAAATGTTAGACGAAAGGTCCCACTATCACTACCCGCTGCAAAGACTAATTATAGGCAGAATAGTTATATGTACCGTGCGAGCAAGAATTTTAATATTGTATCCCTACTGTTTAACTTAGACCTATTCAACACAAGTATCATTTCGGCGAGACGAGTTCTGAGTAAGCCTTTTTTCAATTCCAGCTGATGATCTTTCTCATTTCTTTTTATTTTATTTTATTTTTATATTTTTTGCTTTTGTTAATCCGTAATGTTTAGTTATTTAATGCACGATGTTACTTAGCTAAGCTTACAGTTGGTGCGACAGTGTCCTATTAGCTGTCGGTAACTCATCGCACGCAATTATTTATATATTGCCACTATTTGCGAAAACCCATAAATGGTTTCCTATTGTTTAATTGTTTTCTACCTACTCTGTTTTTTGTTAACCGAGGGATTTCCGATTAATTAAATAAATAAATAATTAAAGTAAATAAAGATAAAAACATTGCTGTGGCCGTAGCTTCCTCCGGTATAGCCGCCAAGCTGCTAAGCGGGGGCCGCACTGCACATTCTGTTTTAAAACTCCCTCTAAATCTAGCCTAGGAAGAATTGCCGATCTGCAACTTTAGCAAAAATAGTGCACGAGGTATAATGCTACGACAATGCAAACTTTTAGTGTGGGACGAAAGTACAATGTCGCAT